TGCGGGAGATGAGCCCCACCGGTGATCTGGTTTCTAACTTGACCAATGAGCTTTATCGCTTCTCCCTTGAAGGTATTTCCTTTCCATAAGCACTTAAAATTAGATAAAATCAGACAACAGAAGATACAACTTTCTTACAGATTCCCAAGGGAGTAACTGACTTGTCACAATGCCCTTAAAGGGATAGTTCACCCAAAAATGAAAATTACCCCATGATTTACTCACCCTCAAGCCATCCTAGGTGTATATGACATTCTTCTTTCAGACGAATACAATCGAAGTTATATTAAATAATGTCCAGGCTAATCCATGCTTTATAATGGGAGTGGATGGTAGCCCAAAATTTGAAGTCCAAAAAATTGCACCCATCCATTATAAAAGAAGTCCACGCGGCTCCGGGGGGATAATACAGGCCTTCTGAAGCGAAACGAAGCATTTGTGTAAGAAAAATAACCATATTTACAACTTTATAAACCTTAACCTCTAGTTTCTGCTAACTGTCGTCCATGCATTCACGAGAGTGGCGTCCAGCCGATGACGTAGGATGTAGGCGTAGCATAAGTCTCGCGAGAAACAAGTGTTGTTTACAGCAAAGAAAATGTGATAAAACTGTACATTTTAGAGTGGCCTTTTATTGTGGCCTACCTAAGGCACACCTGTGAAATAATCATGCTGTCTAATCAGCATCTTGATATGCCACACCTGTGAGGTGGATGGATTATCTCGGCAAAGGAGAAGTGCTCACTAACACAGATTTAGACAGATTTGTGAACAATATTTGAGAGAAATAGGCCTTTTGTGTACATAGAAAAAGTCTTAGATCTTTGAGTTCAGCTCATGAAAAATGGGAGCAAAAACAAAAGTGTTGCGTTTATAATTTTGTTCAGTGTATATGAAATAATTGCTTTAAAAAACGACATGTATCAACATTTAAAAAGATACAACGTGTATTTGAAATAGAATGTTACAAATCTTTTGTATCATTATAAATGTCGGTCACACTTTATTTTAAGGTCCAATTCTCACTATTAACAAACCATTAATTATGACTTTTGCCTCAATAAACTCCTAATTTGCTGCTCATTAATAGAAAGGTAGTTGTTCAATTTAGGTATTGGGTAGGATTAGGGATGTAGAATATGGTCATGCAGAATATAAGTACTAATAAACAGCCAATATGTTAATAATTAGGCATGCTAATAAGCAACTAGTTAATAGTGAGAGTTGATCCCTATGCTAAAGTGTTACCTAAATATATTTAGTGTCATTTTTGATCAATTTAATGCATCCTTGCTGAATGGAAGTATTGATTTGTTTCAACAAAATCTTACTGACCACAAATATTCATAATACAGCTTGTCCTTGTGGGGATTATTGTTTTTATTAAACATTTGCCTACATATTAAAATACTATGGACATATTATGGAGGTTTTTTAACATAATAAAATAGTTTAAAGTATTGAAAGAGTTATTATTATTGTTTTATTATTATTGAGTTATTTCATTGAAAAAGTTCACTAAGTGGCAGTAATCAGCCATAAAGCAAATATCATAGATTTTACCATGGCTAAAATCATGACTATCCATC